CCGCGCCCCTCCCTGCCCCGCCGCCGCCGGCCGCCGCCGCCATCGCCGCTCGCCCGGGCACCTATCCACGACCCCGCGCCACCCCTCTCCTCTTCCTCCCACCTCACCTCTATCTTTCTCTCTCTCTCCTCTTCAAACCCTAACCCTAGCCACCAGCCTCCGCTCCCTGCCGCGCCGTCGCGTCGTCTCCTCCTCCCCGCCCTCTCGGTCCTCAGCAGGAGGAGCACGGCTCGCCGCCGCAGCTGCTCCTGCTCAAGGACGAGGTGATGAAGATCACCCCCGTGCAGAAGCAGACGCGCGTCGGCCAGCGCACCCGCTTCAAGACTTTCGTCGGCGGCGGCGACGGCAACGGCCACGTCGACCTCAACGTCAAGTGCGCCAAGGAGGCGGCCACGGCCATCCGCGGCGCCATCATCCACGCCAAGCCCGCTGGGGGTCTGGAATCGTGGCCGCCCGCGTCCCCAAGAAGGTGCTGCAGTTCGTCGGCATCGATGATGTCTTCACTTCCTCTCGTGGATCCACCAAGGTATAAAATAACCCTCCCTATATCCATATTAACCAGTGAGACAAGCAAATTAACTGAATAACAAACCACATCGTCGAGGAGACCGTCGCCATGGTGCTCCACTATGCCTCGGGGATTGCCGACGCGCACGTTGGCCTTCCGTGCGCGGCGCCGTCGTCGCCGTGCCGCCCTATTTCGGCCAGGCCGAGCGCCAGGCCCTCACGCAAGCGTCCCAGCTCGCCGGGTTCAACGTCCTGGCGCTCGTCAACGAACACGCCCGGGCCGCGCAGCAGTTCGTCCTACAGCGCCAAGGAGTTCGGGAAGATGGTGTCTGTCAACCAGTTCCAGGTAAAATTCCCACCTGTCCAGCTCCTTTAGCTGTCCAGTTCTGCTTCAACTCATATGTCTGTTTGTAAGATCTCTGAAGAAAAAGTTGTTACTACTGCTTTCACATGCTAGATGACTGTACTGAAAAAAACATGAAATTTTAGCCGCTATCTCGAATAGGCATCTAGTGCTAATGCTTTTAGCTAATTCCTCTGCAGGTTAAGGATGTCAGATGGAACTCCAAACTGGGAGGCCTTGAAATGGAAATGTGTTTGGTAAATTATTCCGTAGATCAATTTAATAAGCAGACATCCGTCAGTCTCCTAAAGCAATGGCTAAGTTGAAGAAGCAAGTCAAGCGCACCAAAGAAATTCTGAGCGCATATACCCCTCCTCCAATCTCAGTTGAATCTCTATATAATGATATCGATTTCAGGTGTGTCCTTTGGTACATGCATAATCTTCGGATGACCGTTTATATGGAACTTAAAAGATCCATCTTATGTCCTGGATCGATTCTGAACACATGAACCTCTTGCTTGTAACCAAACATAATCTGGAGTAGCATGGATGACAGGCCCTATTATTTCATATTTGCCAAATGGTCTGACCTTTGATAGATCAAGTTGATTTCTTTGTCTCCTTTAATGTGCGTAGATGCAGTATCAATTGAATGAAATTTGTTTTGGTACTGCTTTTGCATATCTCTTGTGGATAGTTTCTACTACATTGAAGTTCTGCATCCATTTTCATTGCATATTCATGATTATGTGGAACTTGCAAGATTATACCGGCTTTTTAACTTGTCATTGTTGGTATTTTCTGTAGCCCATTGGCCATTGATGTCCTTATTCCTTACTGCTTTGTTCTGTGATTATTGATCTTTTACCCCAGCTCATGCTTTCAGCTTTCCCTCAGTTTTTTTCAGCATAGAGTGCACCTTTAATCCTAAATCATGGTTAGGAAAAAAATCAAGGTTTTACATGCTGACCGACTGCAACAGTAGTGTTATGCATTTGTATACTGCAACAGTAAGGTTTTACCTACTGTTTGTTACAGGAGCACCATAACACGTGAACAATTTGAAGAGCTTTGTGCAGATTTATGGGAGCAGGCTCTGTCTCCAATCAAAGATGTGCTTACGCAATCAGGCATGAAAATTGGTGACGTATATGCTGTAGAGCTAATTGGTGGAGCTACCAGGGTACCGAAACTGCAGGTGATTATTACTCCCTCATTCAAGACTTATACTTGACTTGCCATTGAGGGGCTGTAATGGAATGCAGGACTGTTGCATTGTTGAATTTCTGAAACTTTCTGTGTATGCTCATATAAACTAAACTGATTTTAGAACTTGGGTGCATGCGACTGCCTGCTTCTTGTTACACCTTTTCTCACGTAAGAAGGTTTCATCGTGAACGGAATTCAGTATTTGGCACGGAGTTTATAAACTGCTGTTAGTCATACGGAGGACTTCATTTACTTATGGAATAGAGTTACATGTCTTATCTATCTGTACCATTTATTATTATCTTGAATCTCATTGTTTTTATTATTTGTCACTTTTTGACTCACGAGGCACATTTGTATTCCTCTGTTCCAGGCTAAGCTGCAGGAATTCCTGGGATGGAGTGAGCTAGATAAGCAGCACCTTGATGTTGATGAAGCAATTGTTCTTGGCGCCTCACTACATGCTGCTAATCTAAGTGATGGGATTAAGTTGAGCTGCAAGTTGGGGATGATTGACGGTTCTACTTATGGTTTCGTGTTTGAAATAGATGGCCCAGATTATGTCAAAGATGAAAGTACTGATGAAGTACTGGTTCCAAGGATGAAAAAGATGCCAATGAAGGTTAAGAAGGATATTAGTCAATCTCTTACTTGTCGACAAACTTTGCCTCCTGTTTTCCATTTTCCATTCTTAGCTCCATTTGCTGAAAACAGAGGCAGAGTAGCAGCTATAGCAACCCTAGAGAGATTAATTACACTTTTTCCCGTCATGGTGCTGCTTGCGTACATTCTTTGTTAGAGATTGCTTGATCTGATTGCGGCCGGAACATGGTTTCGTTAGGGCTGTGTGATTTAGCCTCTTCTTGGTGGCAACTAATTACGCAGCAATACTTTAGTTTAGCCTCTTCATCCCAATATTTAAGATTACAGGGTCGAAGTGCCTTCTCCCTATGGTAATCACCATGGTTTTATTATTTGGCTTCTTCTGCTTTAGTTTAGTTTTCAGTATCATCACAACCAGGAGGTATATCAGAGTAGTATCGTATTCTAATTAGAAATGGAGACAAATTTAAGAATTTAGTAGTTACGTAGTAATCGTGATGTACAAATCATTTATTAATATGTTTTTTTAGTATTTGCAGCACCATATGGTGGATCATAGCAGGTAAAGGTTTAGAATATATAAGACATGTTTAGAACCTTTGAGCCTGACAACTAATAGAATGTTTGTTGTGAGTTGTTACTATATGCATCTGTTGGATGTCCTGCTGCACATCTAGGCATTTTATTGTTCTATTGCTTTTGCTCTGTGTAGGGATGGGTTAGGGTTTGCTGTTGGATCCAACATTTTTTTGTTGATGGTTGTCGTCTGCTCATGCTCTTGACTGTCGGACTGCTGGGATCTGTCGTTGTTGTGGTTGTCTTGATAGTTATGATTTTTGTCTACAGTCCTATTACAGGTGCTTTTCTTTTTTCATTCCTTTATTTATGCCTTTCCATGTACAGTTTCTAATTTAATATTTATCTTTTCGGCATGGGTTGTGGCTTACCAAGTCTAATGTTCAAGTGTTCTATCAATTCTTACTGCAGTATTCATTCTGTAGTATGTACTAGCTCTTAGACAAGATAATCTTTTAGCCCCTGATTTCTTAGCTACTGGTTGGTCCTGTAAAGCTACATCATTGCTTTCCGATTAGTGTTATTTGAATATATAGCAGTGGATATGCGTAGAAGATCCGCTAATTTGGTTTTTTTGCCTTTATTTAGCTTTATTGATTAATATGATGGCGTTCCTGTTCAAGGATTAGCTCAACCTAATAACATGTAGGGACTTCAGGTTTATTTTTTAATATAATGGTGGAATCATATATCTCTACGGTGTTGTCAGTAGTTAAGTGTCTGTAACTTGCTGGTAGTTCTGTTATGTCATGAGCTAAACTGCTGACTTGGTTTCTTCCATTTTATGAATTAGCGGTGCACCAAACTCTTGTGAAGTCTGAAAAATGGAAAATGTTTGTCCAATAGGTGCCTGATGCAAACTACGCACACTACACGAGCTACAACCCACGTATGGGTGCAACTGTGGTTTTCTGTCCGTCCCTATTGCACTACCATATTGTTTTGGATTTCGGCCTGGCACCCTGGCACTGCACCCTGTTGCAATACAAACAAATATGTGTACAATTTGTAGTCATTTCATGGCAGTGTAAGTAGATCTTGCATGTTTAAAAGAGTTACATTTTGCTTCCTGTTTGATTCTTAAATGATATGTTTTGGGTGTCTATCAGCGCATGTTCTTAATGAACTTGGCTTTGCTTGGTGGTTTAGCTTATCCTTGCCTTTTTTTGTGTTAGTACAACATCTGATTCAGTATAATTGCAGTATTTTGTGTTAAACTGTTACCAGCTAGATTTCTGGGAGCACCAAATCATGATTTTATTTCACGCAAGCATGAAACCTGTTGTCTGATGCTAATTTTGTTTTGGCACTAGCAAAATATTGCAACTTTGGTAAATTCGACAGGGTCATAACTTTGGGAGCTTTTGCTCTTTACCTTTGTTAGTAATGCAGAAAATTCCTGCTCCCCGGGAGGTGATTACTGTCGATTGTGCTTGTATTTTGGCTATGACAACCACCATCAACTTTCGGGTATAGAACCCTACCCCACACAGAAGAGGAGTCCTTGTATCAGGGGTGAGTATATCCTGCTTCTCCTTTTCTTACTACTTTTCGAAGAGGAGCAGTATGTTCCTTTGTGTTGAGATTTCCTTTGTTTCGTTGCAGCGAGAAGCATCATCTTATGCAGGGTGTCAACCAGCTAAAAGCATCTCTGACAGGACATTACCCTGTCCCTGGCCAACATTGATGCGGTTCTTTCCTATTAATCATGTGTGATTATATTGATCGAGTTATTTAAACGATTCATATGAATAATGATTTTCTTTGCATCATTGTCATATCATGTTGTTCAATAAGTATTTGTTTTCTTCACCTATTCACGAGATAATCTTTTTATAGTTAGAACAACTGAACAAATGTATCGTCTTGTGGTGAACTAATTAAGAAAAAATAACAATCAACAAATAGGGCACTCGCAAGAGCCATATACTGTAAACTTAAGTGATTGTCAAATTCAATGACCATGCGTGTATGTGAATTGGTGTAATTATTTTAGAAAGTCAATTGAATATATAAACTAGAAAGATTAGCAGCCATGTCTCAGTATAAATTTCATGCATAGTAGTCTGGCATGGCATGTACATAAACAGAGGACTGCACTATATAACCAGTTTTATCTGCAGTGATAAACAAACGCTATCACCGAGAGCATTTTTCTTGTGGAAGTTCTCATTTGAGCTGACATGTTTCCTGATGCAAACTCATTCAACCACGTATAGCCTTCACTGCACATCATTTGGTTGATCTTTAGTTCTTGGGTTCTGCAGATGCAAAATGGAGCCGGCGACCAGCCCTTCTTCCTCACCCTCAGCCTTGAAACCACTGTTGACGCCTCCAAGAGCAGTCGGGCATCGGCGTCGACGCCGGTAAGGCAACATGCGTTGCAACATGCAACCAAATCAAATGGAGTGTGGACAAAGTTATATATGGACAAAGTTATATATCAAGCAAATTGGATGAAGGTGTGTGGACAAAGTTATATATCTAATACTCAACCATGTAGTTTACTATTATGCAGTGTGAAAAACGGTGTACATCAGTTATCTGGGACTAATACTATGGCCTGATTTTGATTTCTACCACACCGAACCTTGCTTAGATAGGGCCATTTTTTAGATATTTTACAGAGTGTTTACTGTTGTTAGTATCTACCATCACCTATGTGAGTAATATCAGATATATTTCCATCCTGAGATACATTGAGTAATATCAGATGTTGATCGAAAAAGGGTTATATCAGATATTTGATCATTGAACTTTTTTTGATTAATTCCTTGATATATTTCCATCATGATAGACACGCACATGCGGGAGTTGGGGTTCGGCAAGTAGCACTTCTTTGATTAAGTTGTTTTGTTACACGTGCAAAACTTGCGTTCCTACTACTGCATCATATCTGTTTGATCTTTCACTGCTTGATCATATCGGTTGGATCAGCACCCTCGCGCCAAGGCGCGTTGCCGATCTAGTTAAAATTAGGAACCCTCTAGCTTGCGACCGTTCGCGAGCTAGGATTAGCATTTGCGAACTGTTGAGTAACAGTTTTAGTGTTTTATTTTGGTGCAGTTTTCTTGCAGAAACTGCCACCGTCAGTCATTACCATGAAATTATTCGACCTTCAAAAGAAGACACCAATATCTGGATGACGAAAGCCATGGGAGGTGGACCTGACGAGCAGACAGAAGCAATTTTTTTGAAACACATCATACGGAGAACACATAAAATTTACGACATGACATGCTCTAGATGATAAAAAATAACATGCCATGCTAATTTATGAACTATAAAATTGTCATGGCTGTGAAATAGACTTACCAGAGGAGTAGATATAGAGAACACCATTATCTTTTTCATAAATTGACATGCTAGCTACTATGGCCATGCTCTAAAAAACATGTAATGGGGACATGCTGGCTTCCTAGGAATAGAAATAAAATTACCATGGGTACATGTCAAATATACATTGATACAAAATGGACATAGGACTAGACTTGTTGGAAAAAGTGTAACAGAAGTCCAGAATCACCATATGAAAATGAAAAAATAGTTATAAGTCAAAATAAAATGGGCCATGATCTCATTATTAAAATTGCCATACTCTCAAGAATATAAAAAAGGAATGCTACCTAAATTAAAAAAATGAACTACCCATGGCAATAAATTAAGTTTTATCGACATGTCAACAAAAAAACAGGATTTAGAGACATGGTAATATATAGTTGAGTTGACATGGCCCTATATTTTGAGTTTCCATCATGACATATCACTTACAATAAGAATCCCGTGTGACCACAACCAAAAATTCTGTAAAATGCCAGCATACTATAAGAAAACATATCACTTATATACTACTCCCTCCGTCCCAAAATAAGTGACTCAACTTTGCACTAACATTGTTCTAGAGTTAGTACAAACCCGAGTCATTTATTTTGAGACGGAGGAAATATAAGAAAACAATTCTACAAATTGCCATAGGGATAAGAAATGACATGGCAAAAATGTAAACTTATTGCCATGACGGATACGGGACATCATACTATAAGAAACATACCACTTATATACTATAAGAAAACAATTCTACAAAATTTGCCATGAGGATAAAAGATGAAATGGAAAAAGTGCAAACTTATTGCCACGACATATTAAAGGTTCTCTTCCAATCACATCATATCACTTACAAAAAAATGTCGTGTGACCATAACCAAAACAATATGTGAAATGCCATCATACTACAGGTCATATTTCCACAGCTAGTGACACATAAACTAAACGTAGCTAAGGCTAAGGGCATATCTAAATAAACCCTCAAACTTTAACTCCCCAAACACCTTCTCAAGCCTTAACTTCTCAAATATGAGGAAGATTTCCGTATTACGATCTCCCGCCCGGAGCCATCCAACCTGAGACCATTGGCGAGCCATAATTTTCTCATGCTCAAATAATTCACATAGCTGACATTCCACTTCGCGTTCTTCCTTCAGCACAACCACATTCACAGGTGGCATGCACGGAGTCTTGAGTCTCCTTTCAGTCCTCTAGATATCACGACAGACGCAGCCAAAGGACACCTTGCTCCATTCCTTGAGAGCACTGGACACACGGTTCAACCCAGACCACGTCTCCCACAGTGAGTTTTATGAGAAGTGTCTCACGGGATGGGATGAAAGAGATGGTATATGAGTTTTATGAGAATCTATTCTTCGTCGAGGACTGCATCTCTATGGAGAGGGTGTTCGATGCTATCCCTAGAAAGGTTGATGATAACATGAATGCTGAGTTGTGCAAACTTTATAGTAATGAGGAGATGAGAGTGGCTCTCTTTCAGACCGGTCCTGCAAAGGCTCCTGGATCGGATGGACTGCCAGCTATGTTCTATCAAACTCACTGGGATCTGCTCCAGCATGACATTTGTGATGCTATTCACTCTTTCTTGAGTGGCGAGGCTCTACCTGAAGGACTATGCGACTCTATCGTTGTGTTAATTCCTCAGGTACAAAATGCCCAACACCTCTCCAAGTTCCATCCTATTAGCTTGTGCAACGTGTTGTACAAACTTGCATCTGAAGTTCTTGCTAATAGGTTGAAGGTTTTTTTACTGTCATTGTCTCGGAGTTTCAAAGTGCTTTCATGCCCGACCGCTTGATCACGGACAGTGTTCTAGTGGCGTATGAATGTTTGCACACGGTTCAAAAGCAACATTCCAAGAAGCCTTTCTTTGCGCAAAGTGGACATGATGAAGGCCTATGATCACATTGAGTGGTCCTACCTCCATGGGTGTCTGCAAAAGTTGGGTTTTTCTCCTGTTTGGATACAAACTGTGATGCGCTGCATTACCTCGACAAGATACGTGGTGAAGACAAATGAGAGCTTACATCTGTTGTGGTGCCATCCCGAGAATTCTGTTAAGGAGACCCCATCACCCATATTTGTTCTTACTGTGTACTGAAGGTTTGTCTAGTTTACTGGTAAAGAGGGAGAGCCTTGGCGGAATACAGGGGATCTGATACGTCTCCAATGTATCTATAATTTTTGATTGTTCCATGCTGTTATATTATCATTCTTGGATGTTTTACAATCATTTTATAGCAACTTTATATCATTTTTGGAAGAATTCTATAGCTAGTCTGAAAACTTCTGGGATGGATGATCCGGTCTCTGATCATGATCAGATGGCGGGAATTATTTGGGCTTCTTTTAAAAATAGAATGGGCCAGGCCCAAGGCATTTCCATGCGCTATGATTTGGATAATCTCATCTAGCCTGTCCCAGGTCTTGAGGAGCTGTCACAACCTTTTTCAGACGATGAAATCAAGAAAGTTCTGTAGGAGATGCCACCTGATCGAGCGCCGGGTCTCGATGGTTTTAATGGAATATTTGTCAAACGTTGTTGGCCCATCATTGAGAAGGATTTTTTGCGTCTGATTCAAGACTTTTATTAGGGGAAATTGTCTTTGGAAAATATAAATGGTTCCCTCATAACTCTCATACCAAAAATGATATCTCTTGTGACGCCCGGATAATTAAGCTACAGTAAACCCCTGCTAATGGTGCCACATCACCTCGGTTACTGTTGATAAACTCGAGTTGGTTCAAGCCGATTCAAATTCAAATTCAAAATCAGGCAAACAATAAAGGTTTTCAAACGTTAGAATTTAAAATGATCATCATGTGGCAAATAATCCGTAACTTATTTTGGGTGTTGGAACCAACCTTTTTCAAAATGTTTAAGTGCCTAAACTAAATAAAAACAGGGGCTAAAACAATTATTAAATACTTTTCAATAATAAACAAATGTAAAACTAATTTATTAGTGCCAAATTAATTATGACAGTAGCCTAACTAATAATGCTAATTTAGGGGCTGAGTTGATATATTATATAAAAAAAACTGCATATAAAGTAAAACTAAAAGAAACAGGAAAATAGAAAAAAAGGAAAAGGTCAAACAAAAAAAAACAAAAAAATAGAAACACCCCC